GGAACTCACCAAGGCCAGCTGGCCTGGGTCTGAAAAAGCCTGGGATAAAACCGGACTTGCTGAACATAGCGGACAATGAGGACTACTGAGAAATCAAGAACAATGGGAATGGGTTTTTGATCCTACTGCATGTACTGGCTTTGTGGGAGCCTAGGCAGTTTGGATGCTCACCTTACTAGACCTGGATGGAGGTGGGTGGTCCTTGGACTTCCCACAGGGCAGGGAACCCTGATGGCTCTTTGGGCTGAAGAGGAAGGGGGAGTTGACTGGGGGAGGGGGAGGGAAATGGGAGGCAGTGCCAGGGAAGAGACAGAAATCTTTAATAAATAAATAAATAAATGAATTAATAAAAAAGAAAAAATAATATTAATAATGATAATATCAATAACATAGTATCTATATAACATATAAATAGGTAAGTAAATGAGTCAATTTTAGTGCACTTAGTCTTTCTATATATTTAATGTCCATTTAAGATCTTGTTTTCCAAAGTATGAAAGGAAAACAGTACATTTATATGGGTCCTCACTGTTGGGCCAAAATTGTCTCAGGGCCTATACCTCAAAGCCTGTACAGAAAAAGATCATGGTGGCTGTTGTTCAGCATGCCACAACCAGTAGAATTGGTACACACTACCCTGGGGGTCACTCCCAGAGTGTACTCTCTATTCGATCTTGCTAATATAATCATAAGAATCATAAAACATCCCTTTGAAATTATGGAAAGAATCTCTCTAAATTAATAATTCTATTCAAAATAAGGATATAGAATGGGCAGCCAAACATTGTTCTTGATTGAGCCTCACCCTGGAGGGATTTCTGGGGACTCTGGACACCCACTTTGAGGAGTCCCAGTTAGTGAAGCTATATCAAGAACTGCACTGGAGACTCCCCTCAGTCTTTTCGTGTCCCAAGCACTCACTGTTTCCACACATAGCAGGAGTAATGGGCCGCCTTTGTAGTTTTCCCTACAGTGGGGACCAAGATAAAGATTACTAAAATCTCCTTTGGGGAGGATTTGCTCAATATAAGGAAATGATGGCTGTATATATTGCCCTACAAGAGGTCCCAGAACCCTGCAACCTCTATTCAGACAGCTCTTATATGGTGAACCTTCTGCCACACTTACCCTCTATGTATATCACATTGGATGCTAATCCTATTTCTGCCTTGATGATTCAACTTGGATCACTCTTAGAAGGTAGAAAAAAAAACCCATATATATTCAACATCTCAGAGGACACCAAAACCTCCCTGGCCTCATTTCCCAAGGGAATGCTGCTGCAGATACTGCAGCATCAGGGGCCTGTCTCATAGAGGTCTAAACTCTGCCCATGCAAAATGCTACCCAAATGCATGACTTAACTCATGTCACCTGGAGAGGACTAAAATACCTATACCCCCAGATGCCCTCAACAGAATTAAAGAGAATTTTTTATACATGTGAGATTTGCCAATAGCTTCTCTGCACCCCATCCCCCTTTACAAGGGCCAGGGCTGAACTCAAGACGGTTAGGACCCAATATCGTCTTGCAAACATATGTAACACATTACCCTCCATTTGGCAAATTAAAATATATGTTTGCGACCATAGTCCTGTACTCTAAGGCAGGCTGGGCTACCACTCACTCAGAGGAAAAGGCAACCCATGGCAAAACCACTTTTTACAATGTTTACAACGTTGGGACTACCGCAACAGGTCAAGACTGACAATGGCCCCTGTTTCATAAGTAAAACATTAAAAGAATTCTTCCAGAGATGGAATATATCCCATACTACTGGGATCCCCATACAGCCTTCAGGGTCAAACAATTGTCAAAAGGCATCACCAATATCTCAAAGAGGTCCTTATAAAACACAAAGGGGGAGAAGTCTTCCCCCATCTACAACTGCAAAAGGCATTATTAACCATCAATATTTTAAATTTTCAAAAATCAGATGAATAAAATAGATTCCAGAAACATTGAGAATCTCTACCAAGGAGGCCCTGCCTAAAGGTTAGAAGGAAGGATCCTCTCACTAACCAATGCAGCGGCCCAGATCCCTTGTTGACACAGGGCAGGGATATGGATGTGTCTTCCCAAAGAAAAGGGAAACGCCTATATGGCTACCTGCTTGTAACTTAAAATATCTCCCCTCCCCTCAGGACAATGGGGAAGACCAAGGTGACCAATAAAGAAAGAAAAAGATTATGGTGGACAACCTTTAAATTCAAACACAAGAAAAGAAAAATAATGACTGCCCAAGGGAGATTGACTCTTGAGGAAAGTGTTGCCTGTTTATCTATTTCAGATGGTCCTCCCAGCGTTAATCTTATTAACTATTCTCACGGGGATCAAGGTCCAGGCAGCAAGTGTGCACCAACCTCAGAAGGTGACATGGATCCTATGGAGTGCTGGCACTGGAGGGATCCTAAACCAGACTTCTCTGATGACAACACCCTGGACACGGTGGCCTGATCTGATGTTTGACCTCTGCAACTTGGCATGTGGGAGCTGGGACATGGGAGACTGGATTCCAGGGATCTAAGGGAAACCTGAATGTGGAAGTTTTCGGGGGTGCATCCTACCCCAGGCATGTTACCCTAATAAGCCTCATGCCCTTAGGAGACATACCCTCCTCCAGACACCCTTTAATGTATGCCCAGGAAGCAACTGGACTGCCTCCACTATTAGAAACTGTGGCGAGACTTCTGATTACTATTGTTCTTCCTGGGGATGTGAGCAGACTGGGCTGGACATAATTAGAAAAGACAGAGACTACATTATTTTTATTTACAAAAGTCTTTGAATTCCTTAGCAAGGGTAACTTTACAAAATAGGAAAGGCTTGAACTTGCTGTTTATGGAACAGGGAGAAATTTGCAGGGCACTTGGGGAAGAATGTTGCTTCTGTGCAGACCATTCTGAGATAGTTACAAGAATCCTAGATGAGTTAAAAAAAGATTTAAGTCAAGGACCCCCGCCCCCCATGAGACCTGGTTTAATGATCCCCATGGCTTACCACACTCATCTCTTCCTCTTCCCTAATTGGGCCAATGGCTATTTGTTTATTGATCTGTATTTTGGCCCATGCATTCTCCAAAGGTTAAAACAAGCACTCCAAAAACAGATACAACAGGTACAACTCATAGCCCTTCGAGTACAATAAGATAGGTTCCATACATCTCACCTCCCAGATGAACTCTCAGTTTGAAGGTATCCAGGCCAAAAGTCCGGATAGGGGTGGCCCTGACCTGTACTCTCTCCCCAGTGGGCTATTCTGGCTCAGTGACTGGGGTGCGGGAGGATATAAAACAAAAGTGAAAGATATTGGGCCAAAATTATCTCAGGGCCTGTACCTCGAAGGCCTGTGGGAACTGAGTGAGGATGAGACAGCAAAATCTAGGTGGCCGCCCCTTCAGCCAGAGGGAGGGGATAACTGTCTCTCATTGGCTGGAGATACCCCCACATCACAGGGTGTCTCTTAACCTATATAAGTTGATGCTCACAGTAATAAACTGAGTTCCTGCTTTTACTTGACTCCCTATTGCGTCTGATTGTCCTGCATTGTAGGGCTTTGGAATGGGCGGATAGCACACTCACCTTTCCCTGGTGAATAAGGAGGCTAAGGAAACCTAACACTCAAACTATTAGGAAGATCTAGAGTTAAAAGCAAACTGGAGTGGAGAAACAGTAACAATTCCGAGGTTTTCTTTGTTTTACATGGACTATGCTCACTTAAACTTATGTGCTTTACCTGGAACAGTCTTTAGGAAACAAAAGTAAAAATGCTTTGGTTTTTGTGTTCTTCACGTTAAAGCCAAAGCCCTTGAACTTTTCTTTCTGTGGTCAAGGGAAAACAAGAAATGTGCTCAGTTGCTTCCCTGTACAGGAAACTAAGCCTGGGATTCTTCTGGGACACTGCAATTGGCTTCTCATTCTTACTATTGCTTAGTGTAAATTCAGGACAAACCCAAACCCTTTCTGGAGCTGCACCAGGGCCTTGGGGCCTAAACGGTGGCTCATTGCACTGAGACAAGCTTTGAAATGAAGACGCTGTGCTGAAACTCGCTGGAGAATTTGGTTTTGGTGCCTTCCCACTACCCTTCGTTTTATCAACTAAATGCATATCTGACTCAAGGAGCCCAGTGACTGAGGGGCATAGAAACCTTCCCCATGCTCTTATGGGTCAGATCCAAGAGTCTGGACAGATCCTATCACCACCTGGCAAGCTCGGTACAGGTGGCAAGCAGAGCTGTCCAGCACTGGAACAGAGACAACTGGGCCTGACAGAGGCTCCTACCACCGGGCTCAGGGCACATAAAGCCACGGGTGGCTGAAGAGGGGGGGGCGATTGCAGCCTGAGCAGATGATATTCTCACTGACCACGAAGCCTTCCTGGAGTCAGGGAACTGTCTCCAGCAGCTGCCCCACCCTTTCCTTCCTTTGAAAGTGTCTCCACTGAAACATTTGGGGTGGCCGATTTCAACTTCCAAAATAAACTAGAATTGGACACGGTGTGTGTGTGTGTGTGTGTGTGTGTGTGTGTGTGTGTGTGTGTGTGCAGGGACTTTAGAGGCCCTTGTTAGGCTTTTAGTTTTATACAAAGGCAGATCCCTCCCCCAGTTCTATGCCCCTCACCCTAATGAATGTCAGCCACCGGCCATGTTCACTACCCATTTGCTTTTCCAGGGACCAAGGGACTCGACGTTTGGGCTTAGAGACCTTTGGTCCTATGGGAACCACCATATGAACCCCTAGTAGGAGGACATGATCGCAGGGGAGGCGGGGAAGCGCGGAGAGAACAGCAGCAAAGTGTCCTAGTTGATTCGGAAACGTGGCGACTGGAGAGGCAGAGACTTCTAATGAGTATGGTGGCGACACGTGATGCCGGCGGAGACATCGCCCGGGCGGGGGTGGGGGTGGGGGGGGGGGGGGTGGGGGGTGGTGCGGGGGAAAAAGGGAGCAGGAGGGAGGGGGCGGAGGACGCGGGCCTCGGGCAGTAGAGACGCAAGGCGGAGGAGCCGCTGCACCCGAATCCCCGCTGCACCGGAGAGGGAATGATGTGCACAGGCGGCCTCTGAGGCTGCGCCACTAGAGCAGCAGCTGCAGAGGCGACGGCAGTCCCTGAGTCCCTAGCTTGTCCTTCGGCGCCACCGCCGGGAGGGACCAGCGAGGAGCCGCGGTGACCCAAGTTCCCGCCATGAGCAGCTGGCTGGCAGGATTCAGCAGCGCTGGGGACTCCCGTCTGGGCTAGCGCACCGCCCAGCGTCCCGGACGCACCTGACGCTGCCATCGCCAATCCTGCTACCTCCACCGCCACCGCTGCGTCTCCGCCGCCACCTCTGTCACCGCCGCTTCGTCTGCAGCAGCATCTCCAGCAGCATGTCGCGCAGGAAGATCTCATCCGAGTCCTTTAGCTCTCTGGGCTCTGACTATCTGGAGACTAGCCCCGAGGAGGAAGGGGAGTGCCCCCTGTCCAGGCTCTGCTGGAATGACAGCAGGAGCCCGCCAGGGCCACCGGGATCCAGATCTGCTGCCAAGACTGCCACCCCAGCTCCCGCTGCCTCCTCCGCTGCCGCCGCGGCCGCTGCTGCTGCGGCCGCCGGGTCCAAGAGGGCGCAGCGACGCCGGAGGGTAAACCTGGACTCCCTAGGCGAGAGCATCAGCCTCCTGACAGCGCCCTCGGTGAGCTGGGAACAGAAGGGTCCGAGCTTCAGCAGAGATCAGAAATGGGCAAAGTTGGAGCAGGGCTATGGGGGAACTCAGGGAGCTCCCAGCCGCTGGGGGGCGACCAGGCCGCATCCTGGTCGGCCTAGGGTTTCTAGTGGCCCCTAGGGAGACAGAACCCTCTGGGCTTAGGCAGAAGGCGAACATTGAGAAGGAAAGAGACCCTATTTTTTCCGAGGTCTGGCTAATAAACGAAAGCCTTAAATTCAACTACACTGCTGTCATCTTTGCTGGCCTCAGGGCTCTTTCAGGCCACCTGTTTTGGTTTTGCTTTTTCTTTTCTTCCAAACTTTCCCAGGCTGTGTTCCTGCATATCCATTTCCCCTTTTCAGCATCCCAAAGGAGTCCCCGCCCCGCCTCTGGAAGCCCTTACTCTCTCATTTCCCACACTCTCTTGGTCCTAGTAGTGACCTTTTGGGGCATCTCTGAATTTCACAAGCTCTTTGCAGCCTCTCTCACATGTCTTTCTCACATTTAGGAATGCTGTCAAAATCTTTCCTTTGCATCTTTTCACATGCAAGCCTGTAATCCTATGTTTTTCACACACACACACAAACAGAGAGAGAGAGAGAGAGAGAGAGAGAGAGAGAGAGAGAGAGAGAGAGAGAGAGAGCCTTCCTGATGTCTTATTTGTTGGGCATTTATTGGCTCAGTTTTCTGGGAAAACCTGGTGTCTTTTTTTTTTTTAAAGTCTCTTGCATCCTGACATCATCCTTTACTTTCCCTTCCTTAGATTCTCCAGTGCTTCCTACCTTCCTCATATGAGAACCCACACACATGTTTATTGAGAGAATAAATACCTTCATGCACTTAGGCAACTTGTGCTGATTTGGGGCTTTATGCACTAGTGGTTTTCAGTACACACCATCTTCCCCTTGGTTCCAGGCATTCTTCCATACTACTCTGTTCTAACCCCTCCTAAGATATTTCAACTACCTCCCCTCCCTGAAATGCCAGACAGACGGTCAGTAAAGGCTTTATCCTTTACTGACTAAGTGAACTTGGGTTTGATTCAATTGCAGAATCCAAAGGATATTAAGTTGTCAAATTTCCACCCACCTTTGAGACTCACCTGGGTTTTGGAAAAAAAGACTTTAAGTGCTGTCCCCATTTTTTCGTTTCCTGCTTCTACCCCTCAGATTTAATTTTTTAAAGTTCCCTCAATGTATCTGAGCACTGATCTTGTTTGGCCTCTCCTAGGTTTCCCTTTTGAAAACATTCTTAGACTCATTTTAGGAAGGGCCTGGGGTAAATTAAGATGCAGAGAGTCTAGGTGCTGGTACCATGCAATGCCAAAGACATCACTATGATACCTATATTGGAGAATAGTTGTTTCTTTTCACACTGATCAGTGTCCTTCCTTTCTGGTGTGCTAGTCTTAAACACATGTTTTCAGTGTCTTTTCTTTCTGGTTGTTACTCTGACACATTTTTCTGTGTCCCTCCTTTCGAGTGTGTGTTATTCTTTGACACGAGTTTTCAGTCTCCTTCCTTTCTAGTATGTTAGTCTTTAACACATGTTTTCAGTGTCCTTCCTTTATGCTACATAAGTCTTTAGTACATGGTTTTAGTCTCCCTCCTTTCTGGTGTGTGTTACTCTTCACACATCTTTCTGCAGATAACCTAGAAAGATATTTTAGAGCAGCTTGACTGTTCTTTTTCATTTGTCCTTGTAAATTATCCCAGAAAAGGTAATCTCTGAAAATATTTGGCATTGCAAGTTGTTGAACACAATTGTTTATGAGAAGAATTCAGTAGCCGAGTATCTGTAGATTTGTGTTAATCCCCAACAAACATTTTTGCAACATACCAATTATTCAGTACAACAGATTTGGGTTTAACTCAAGGATCTAACTAAAGATACTGATCTGTTGGGATAGAATTGTTCTTGTAATCCCAAATTTTTGTGTCTGACAACCAAAATTTACACATTTCTAAAAAGTATTGATAGTGACTTTGATAATGACAATTTAGCTTAGATTTTTCTCAACCACTCACGTGAGGGTTAGGGAAAATAAAGTGATAACTGAATTATCTATTGTGAGAATGAGAGCTAGGAAATAATTTCTGATAGTTTCCTTTATAAGTTGGAGTTCAGTAGCAGATGTGAAAAGTGCAAGCCTAGATAAGGGTTTTCAGAATAAGAAACTGAAAATAATTATAATATCAAATAATGCAGAAGTTCTATGCACTTTACAAGCTACAACTAACTTTTATTTTGAAAAATGCCTGTCAGATGGGTGCTCAGAGCCTACAGGTGAACAGGTGCAAACATGTACCCATAAAAAGCTTCAGAGAAAAAAGAAAAATCATCAATGACTAGTCATATCATCAATTGACTTAGTGTCATAGACAAAACAGAGAGGTTCCATTTCAAGTCAATGAGTTAGTACTGCGTGGTCCCTCCTTTCATTTGCCAAAGAAGCCTTTGCCCTAAAAACTTCCACTATATTTATCCTTCTATACTTCCTGGATGTAGATGAGGAGATGTCAGGCATGCTATCTGTTTTCTTGCTGCTTTGAATAACTACAGCGGCCTAGACTAACCATTTTGGGGGCATTTGTAGTTAATTTTTACGTGTTGCGAACTTTCCTGAACCCCATCATCATCTATTTTAGGAGGATCTATACTTGTTCTTTAGGTTCCTGTTTACACAGTGGTCTGGTCATATGTTTCAATCAATAGGATTCCAAGTAGAAAAATGGAAATGCATTTATACTAATACATTGGCACATACTAAGCTAGTTTTTGACTCATAGAATCAACAAGGTTGAGTTTTTGATATTTTAGTAGTTATTTTTAGGTGAATTGATGTTGGCTATAAAATTCACATTATTGCACATATAATGCAGTAATATTGCACATAAATACAGTAGTATTACACAAATAATACAATAAAAGTAAATCGAGTTGATAGAATTGAAAGAAAACAAAACCCAGTACTCAAGCATCTTGATTTTTCATTGCTTTGAACAAGTAAGTACTTGTGTAATTCTGGGCACATTCTCAGATTTCTGAGACTTTACAGCTTACAGTTTTCAGCTGTAAAGTGTTGTGCTTACATTTCTCTTCAGTCAGAAATTCTACTGAGAGACATCATCAGGCATACAAAGGAACAGTTTGCATTTGAAAAATTTTGAGAAAGGTGTATCACTTTTTAAACTATGTAATAATCATAGCATTATTCAAGTAACCAGTAATTGAGATTCTGCTGTGTAGCAAGTATTATACTGGTGATAGAGATGCTGAACAGTCCCCAGTCTTCATGAACTTTTAGTCTTTAATTTTAGGAATGTGCGTTGAGGAGAGCACAGGAACTGCCATTGCCCCTTTGACCTCTCAGGAATATTTTGTGTAGATTTTTTCACAAGTCTCTGGAGTGTATCCATAATAAGAAACATCATTATACATGCCTGATTGGAGGCATATCAATCACTTATTATTTATTTTGAAGTAATTGAATACTTGGAAACATATTGAGAGATTAGCACAGGACGCTTTTATTAAGGGTCAACTTAGTAACTCATTTTATTAGATTTTATTTTATGACTATGACATCAGTTTAGGGTTTGTTCTCATCAGCCTGTCAGTGGAGAGATGCTGGCACACATTCAAAGTTGAGGATTCTTTTGAGAGTTCTGCTCACTGTTGAACCACTGGGCTTTGAAGATCTCAGAAGCTGTAGCTAGAACAACAGGAAGAAACATAACACAAATGGAACTATAACAAAGCAGGGGAGGGAAACTTATGACAAAAGGAAATTTATCCCAAGAAAGTGTGAAATGAAAAACCAAGGACCCAAGAATGGAAAAAAAAAACTGTCATTATTTGGGGAAGGAAACTGTAGTAGTAAAAGCCTAATAAAAGCAAAGGAGACAGACAGAAATGTTTAGCTTCTTCTGATACTACCCAAAATTAATTCTCTGACACAAACTCTTCAAATCAACCCCAATAGCTCTGAGTGTAACTAACAATGTAAATAATGAAAGATTTGTTTATGAAATAAGATATTTGGTAATCAAGTCCCCCTCCATCCAGGTCTAGTAAAGTGAGCATCCAAACTGCCTAGGCTCTCACAATGTGAATAATTCACAGTAAGTTAATTAAAATAGTAAGTAAAAGTAACAGAAAAACTATTTCATTTTGTCTGAGAATTTTAAAAATTCCTCATCCTACTACTGAGACCTCAAGAACAATGGCAATGGGTTTTTGATCCTACTGCACATATTGGCTTTGTGAGAGCCTAGGCAGTTTGGATGCTCACTTTACTAGACCTGGATGGAGGAGGGTGGTCCTTGGACTTCCCACAGGGCAGGGAACCCTGATTGCTCTTTGGGCAGAAGAGGGAGGGGGAAAAGAAAGGGGGAGGGGGAGGGAAAAGGGAGACGGTGGTGGGGAAGAGACAGAAATCTTTAATTAATTAATAAAGAAATAAAATTAAAAAATTCCTCATCCATTGCTTTCAAACTAATCAGTATGTGTGTTCAGAGGGTGAGGCTAGGAGATAATGTAATAAATATTAGCTTAAGGTCTGTGTATCTTGGTTGCATGTCTAATGATTTGTTCGGTGGCTATAGCTTACTTGCAAGGATTTTTCTTTTGAAATACATTTGAAGAATGGACATGGCAGCAGTCTTAGCTGGTGAAAGGATGACGTGATCACATATTCTCCTTTGAGGACTCCTTGAGAAGTCGATTACCTTTTAGAATTTTGATATGCATCAGAGGAGTCCTTAATATATTTTTCATCTATATCATAACTGCATTTTACATTTACCTTGCCTATTGTTCTGTGGCCTCATATAAATCTGAAAATAAAGTAAAAACATACATTTCATTGACCATGATGGAAAAATAAATGCAGTATCTGTTGACATCTACATTGTTGATCATGTACTACCAAGAAGGTGTAATTTTCCCTTTGAAGATTAATATACATTGGAGGAGAAAAGAAAATT